TTGATCGATAGGTCCCTAGCCAAACTTCTCCTTTTACACAATATGAGCCCTCCCATTTCGACCCAGGAGTTCCTACCCCAAGTACCTTTGTAGACAATAATACTCTTCGGAGGACAAGGTCATTCACATGGAACGTTTTTTTCATAACTTTTGAACTGTAGTACTTTATCCTTTTTCTTTGATACACAACCAACTTGGACTGAGCTCATCTTTCCTTTCTTCAAGAAAATCCAGTTCACACTATCTTAGCTCATCGTTCAATATTTCATTGAAGTGCAAACGATGACGAAATGGCAGACCCATTTCAACTAGGCTCATTGCCGACGTCCCATTGTTCATAGAGAATGGGGTTTGGCTAGTTGCAATTTGACTTGTTGTTTGAGTGGCCTATAAGACCTGATGTAGCTCATTAATCCTAGCTCTTTTTGAGGCATCTTGCTTTCTCTTAAAGTGTATTTAATGGTCTTATTTACAGTCTCAACTTGCCCATTTGCTTGTTGATGATGTGGAGAAGAAAGTTTTTTCTTAATCCCAAATTCTTTGCATAGATCTCTAACATTTTTATTGTCGAATTGACGCCCATTATCTGAGACAATTGAGTGGAGAATGCTGAACATACATATGATTTTTTCCACAAGAATTTGTAGGTGTTCACTTCAGTTATTTTGGCCAATAACTTGGCTTCGACCCACATAGTAAAGTAATCAATTGTAACAATAGAAAAACAAGCACAACTCTTCCTTTTGGCATTGGTCCAATGAGATCGATCTTCCATTTAGCAAATGGCCATGACCTAAAAACAATACTCAGCTTCTGAGAAGGTTGTCGCTGAACTATGGTGAAATACTGGCACTTATCACACTTTCTAGCGAACTGTTGGGTGTCCTTTTTCAAGGTTGGTCATAGTATCCTTGGCTTAATACTTTTTGTGCTAGTGTCCATCCTCCTGAGTGATTGCCACACACTTCTTCATATATCTCTCTAAGAATATAAGTAGTTTCTTCTCCACCTATACAACGAAGTAATGGCATAATGAAGCCTCGTTTATAAAGTACATCATCTTAAAGGATAAAGTGTGCAACTCGTCTTCTCAACTTCTGTGCCTCCTCTTTGTCAGAGGGTAGGATGTGATTTTGTAGAAACGCAATAATGGGCATCTTCTACCAACATCACCTCTCCAACCTTAGAAATTAAAGGCCATGAAAGGTGCTCTGTGGGGACCACAGTAAGTAACTCGAAATCCATATTGCTTGCCAGTTTCTAAAGGACATCAGCATTAGAGTTTTCATAAAGTAGGATCTGTATTAGTTCAAACCTTTCAAAAGTTGGCACAAACTCCATAACCAACTCAGATACGCGGCCATGCCCTTATCTTTGGTTAAAAAACTACCATTAACTTGGCTAACAACCAACTGGGAGTCACAGTTAATGAGTAGCCTTTTAACCTACATCTCTTTGACCAATCGAAGGCCGACCAAAAGGGCTTCATGTTCGGCCATGTTGTTTGTGTCCTTGAACCTGAATCTTATAGTGCAATTGAGCTTGTGTCCTTCCGGGCTAATCAGTACTATTCCTACCCCATATCCGACATCTCCCAAAGAGCCATCAACAAAAGGATTCCAAGTGGGAGGGTCGGTAGGTTCTTTTTACTCTTTCATTTATAGAATGGGAGTAAATTCAGCTGCAAAATTCACAAATTCTTTGCCCCTTAAGGACTTTCTTTGTCTTGAAAATAATATCGAATTCACTAAACTCTATAGCCTATTTCAACAATCTCTCCAAAGTGTCAGGCTTCGAAGCACTTGCTTCAATAGGAAAGTTAGTGGCATGTGTTTGAAAGTAAGGGCTCAGGTTGCGAGAGGCCATGATAAAGGTCAAAGTCAGCTTCTCCATATCAGGGTAACTG